GCATCCATGTATGGAAATATATTAAGCACTGAAACCATAAACGTGAGGCAGAGCAAAGTGAGAGGCCCAGGAAAGTCACAGGCTTGTGTTTAGACGGTATAGCAGCTTGGATTTGTCACTAGATCAGCAGCATGTGTTATAACAGAGTTCATGCTGCTTCTAAGAAGGTCTCACATCTCTGCTTGAATAGGACATTGGGGGTGAGCTCCTAACCCATCTGCCCGCACGCCACATGGGTTTTACATTCACGGGTGAAATTAACTTCATTATCCAGGGTGCAGTGAGAGCAGAGTTTATACTGATGATGTACTGGGTGCAACTTAGTAATTCTGGTGAAGTCTTTTTGGATCCAGAGAGAACTAGAATTTCTCTCTCTAGCTTACCTGTGCAATTGCACTTTGCACCAGTTGCATTCGTCTTCTCTCCATTAAAAGAAAAATTACCTAAATCTCACCCAACTCCTACATTCTTGCATTGAAAATGTGACACAGCAGGCTCCTTTTCAGCTGTCAAACCCGACCCAGGTCTAATCCCCTCCCTGAGAAGATCCCTTGATTCCCGCATTCCAGCTGTCAACCCCATCTCAAGCTCATCATCTGTGGAAGGAGTCTGACACACAGCAGTCTTCACTAGAATGCTGTCATCTGCCAAAAGCTACCACGCACTATAACCTGATTAGGCCACTATTTTCATCAGCTTATAGAATAGGGAAAAAAATATTGTGTTGGGAAATGATTTTTAAGTGGGGGCCTCGGCTCTCCGTGTCCAGACTGAAATATTGTAAAAGTCAGAGTTTGTCACCATTTTAAAAGACAGAAAAACATTTCTGAACTCAGTGGAGAATTGTTCTCTCTTTGCAGGTCAAATAGGATGCAGGATAGCTCAACGTCTCTGTTCTATTATCACAGTGGTTCCAAAACTTTTCGGCATCATGCCCCCTTTTTGATTTTTGAGAAACCCTCACGCCCCGTCCCACCCCTAGCAAAACTTGTCCAGCAAAAAAAAAAAAAAAAAAAAAAAAGGAACTGACTGGGGCCAAAAAACAAAAATAGCAGCAAAACTTGGGGGGGGGGGGGGCACCCCCCCCCCCCCCCTAGAATTTCTTCACGCCCCCCCAGTTTGGGAACCCACGTATTATCAGAACCTGACAACTAGGTTACATATGAAACAAACTCTTTCTTTTCAAACTATCCCCCGCTACCATCCTACTTAGCCCCCCCATCCGAAACTCACATCTACATGTACTCTTTGCAGGATGACATATTTTCTGAGCTCTCCGGTAATTCTACCCAATCCCTCATTCCAGGCATTCATTCAGCTTTGCAGTGAGTGCTTCAAGGTCTGTTGTGTCCTCAATTTGCTTTTCTGAGATTCCACTTAAGCACTCTCCGCCCACTGCTCTAATTGGGCTGGAAGCATAGTTTGTGGTCACTGCAGTTATTTTGGCCCACATCATCTACAAGTCATCATTTGGGGCTTTGGGTTTCTTAATCAGCTCCTCTCCTCCGAAATTTACAGTGTTTGTTTTGAGACCAGGGCTGCATGCAGGTCAGACCAGAGCACTGCAAAATTTCAGCCTTTTGTCCTGATGCAACAGGAACGAGAACAAGTAATTCTGAAACCAGACCACAAACTCTCAACATCTTAAGCTGGTTTCAACTGATCACAGTGTTTTAAGATGGACAAGAAAGCATTCAGCAGTCACTTCTGCATCTTTTTCATCCTCTCTCCCATTAATCCTCTGTGCTGAACACTACACTTCCTTGGGAAATCTCAGGCAGCTCTCAGAAGTACAACTCTTTCATGGTTGGGCAAACACGCAGTATACTCACCCTGCAGGAGGGCATATCCATATGCATTATTCATTCACCCCACTTCTCTACCATTTAGTGAATTTAGTATGTTTATGTTTATTTCTCCACCTCATCAACTCCTCAGCTCATTTTGCAGCTTCTCTGTGGCAACACCGCTCTTGTCTCTCTGCTATTGTTTTAACTTTGCAACTGCATTATCTAAAGAGTTTGGAGACTAATGCCTGTACCTCTCCTTCATGAAATGAACAAACCAAAGATGAAGGATAGTGTTGTAGTTTTTGTTCTGGACTGGGACTTGCAAAACTGGGAACTGAACCCATATTTCCTAACAGAGTCTCTGTATGACCTAGGGTTTTTGAGTTAGGGTGCTATTATCTGCAATGGCATGGACTTTTTGTGTGGCCTTGGACATTCTCCTCAGCTCTCTGTGTCTAATGTTACTCCCCAGTGAAATTATTGCAATATCCACCTCATAGAAGGCTATGAGATGTTGCTGAAGTTCGTACCGATCAGAGATGCTCTGATGAAAATAGTACAAAACTTGAATGCTGATCAATGGCAATCCATTCCAAAAGGAAGTACTCAAGACAGACTATAGAGTCAAAAATTACAGTAATAATAATTCCAAACAGTTTTACAATATTTGAAATCACTCTACTTTGTTTACTTTCTATCCTAATTATTCTCATGCTGAGATGGCATTAAGACAAAGATACCCACTGATCAAGAGAACAAACATTTCAATCACAATTTAAAAGATCCAGTTGATTGTGCTGTCTTGTGTTACGGGACCGGTTAAATAAAGCAACTAAAAAGTCTTCGTTATCCAGTATTTAATCCAACATGAAAGCAGGAGGTCTGAAATTATCCTTGGAGAGTTCAAAGCTGCAGTTAACTTAACATCTCTACTTTGTGAAGCATCAAAATCACAGACTCCTGTAGTTTTTACAAAAATGACAAACCATTAACTGCCAAATCAAAGCACCAGGCATAAATCCACACCACTGACGGCAGACGAAGTTGCATTTTTAAGAGTAACTAAAAATCACTTGGGAGTATTTTCCATGGACCTCTGATGTGAGGGTGAAAATGTGGGGTTGTGTGTGAGAAAGATAGACAGCAAGAAAGAGAAAATGGGCCTCACACAAGGGAAACTCGAGCTATCCAAACTCTTAACTATCCAAAATGCACTGACAAGCACTGGTCAAACACACACACACTTTTGAATTCACAGTTCAGCTAGCCATGCCACAGTTATCCACTGAAAGAATTTCAGTTTGCTCACGTCTCTAGATTTTATATCAAAACTTTAGCAATGAGTAACACTAAAAAATGCAGTATCTTCTCACTACACAGATTAAAACCATACCCCAGTTTCCAGGATGAGGGCTTTGCTGAAAAACAAGAATGCAAAGTACAAAATTTCACCCAGATGAAACACAAGAGAAGTGAAACCTTACCCCCAACAGGGCTAGCTAACCTCACTATAGGCTGTTTTAAAACATTAAAAGCCTGTTCAAAAGGAAGCATCAAAATACTGAACTACAGAAATTCCTTGATTCTCTCATAACTGGTGACTCCTAACAATGAAACACTTTGTGGGAACTCTCTCGGTACTACTATAGGTGGTAACATTAGATATTTGTCTCGTGTCTAAAGTAAGAGAATTTGCTGTATTTTGTATTAAAATATTCAGAAACTTAGGGTTGTAGTTTAAAAGTCACAACCCAAAGGAAATACAAAACATATGCCAGCTTTCATCCCAAATGCCAAACAAGCCGTAGATTCCATTATAACATTTGATTATGCGTCACAGTAGTTAAAAGTTCCATTGTTCCTTACCACTTATGAAGCAGAGAACATGTTTATTCTTTCATCATTGATGCAGTCTGAGTGGCTTTTAGATTGGGACCCATAGCCTTCGTGATAACTTAATGGAGGCAAACAACACAGTGACGCCATATAGGCGAGATATTTAAGGTGCAGATTAAGGTACTGGTGAGTCGAAGAACTAAAGCGGCATATTGCTGGATATAGGGTGAAATCCTGGCCCTATTAAAGTCAATATGGATTTTTGCCATTGATTTCAGTAGAACCCAGATTTCATCCAGAGGACCTTATCCTGCAACTAAATCCGCACCAGTGGACACTTGCTAGGATTTAATTACAGGAATACTGACATGGCAGTATTACTACAGGGCTTATTAAAAAAAACGACATTCAGAAGTCATTCAGAAACCCAGCAACAACAAACACAGGGATTAGAAAATGTTTTGGCTCCGTTGCCATTCTCCTGATGTGGAAATACTGAATAACTTTTCCATGGTCAAAAACGTCTCCAATCTCAATTTAATGTTCACTGTTGTGTATGTCTAAATAACGGTGTAAAAGAGAAGTCTACATATTTTATTTTTTTCAGTAAAGTTAAACTCTCTCTCAAATAAATATTCATGTTGGTCTCTTAACAAGCTATTGATTTTTTTAAACAAAGTTGAGATGGTGAGAGCTGCAAACTAAGAAAAAAAACCAAAATCATCCATTTTGCATTTTTTTTAAAACATGTTTTATCATTTCCACAGCTGGATTAATGAAAAACAGCATACAGATGTCTCTTGACTGCCTTTATATATCACCAATTTCTATGTTTCAGAACCACTGAACAAATAAATAAATAAATAAATAAAACCTGCTGGTGCTGCTAACAGCATGTCATTCACTGGCATGTCTCCTGCCATGACAGAGCCACTATTTTAAAATACACATCTCCATTATCCAAAAATTTCACAACTCCTCTGCTCCCCCACCAAAAATACCAAGTTAGACAGCAGATGTGAGTGACCACATATATATATATTTTCATTTTGAAACTCAAAAGCTGCTTACGTGATTTACGAAATCTTTTTTAAAGACAAATCCCACATCTGGACTTGCTCCCCAGATCTCAGCCAGATGTGATTTCAAATGGCAACGTTATGAGCCTCTGAAAACCATGGTTTATACTGAAAACAGTTGTATTTTTCATAACTGTATCAACCTTGATTTAATTATTGTTTATAAAACTCCCTTTGTCTTGACACTGAACTCTGCCTTTACCACACATGACTGCGAGCTTGCATGCAGCTGGACACTCACTGGCATGTTATGAGCGTGGTTCACTAAAGCTAGGTTTTGCAAGTGGTTCACTAGTGCCAGGCTTTGCACGCCCGTTGTCTTATGAATCCTGAACTGTTGCATGCTTTTGTTATTGTAGGGTGCCTTATATGATGGATGGCCTTCCTGCACAGATGTTTTTTTTTAAAAACAACAACACTAACAGAACAAACATTTGCTTTGGGAAGAAGGAAGAAAACACATGCGTAAGTAATGAAGATTTTTTTTTTGTAAAAGATGTGATGGAGAGAGATTTGCAAATGTGTAAGAAAAGTAGGTCACATTTCTTATTTACTGACCTCACCCGCTAGCCTCCATCAATATGCCACAGATGGTGTCCCAAAAAGGCAGCATGCAAGTTCCCAAGTTAGAGGCCAATTAGTGTTAGCATTATTGTGTTACTCCAGCCATGACAAACAATGAGAATGAAGTCCTCTCCCTCGCCTTAGTGCACAAAAATTTAAATTTCTTTAAACCAGAAAAGAGACTGTATTCCTCTTAGCCACAGAGCACACTAAGAGAGGCCCCATTTTCATGCTAGCAGAAGAGAAAATAAAACCAAGGCATACAAAATCCAACCATCAGGACACTGTGTGCCTCACGGGAGTATCTTTAACAATGTTTTGTCATTTCACTGTGTGTAAAGATTAAGTACTTCTCTGAAGAGATGCCTCCTCACCCCGCACCCCCAATGCCCCCTTCAGATAACTTCACATCACTTGTCATTGAACACTTGCCCAAATTTCACTAGAACTAAGAGTTGCTGTTTAAGCTTTTGTTTTTTTAATTGAAAACAGGTTAGGCTGGTGCAACTCCCATGGAAAAATCCGGTGCATGTACAAACAGACACATAACTATGGTATAAAGATCAGTAAACAAACGGCAAACCTCTTTCTTTAGCATCCAATGGACATGGAAACGAGCATAACTTACAACTCAACCATGCAGGAAGGGAGAGGGGGAGTAGCAGGAAAAGCAAGTAAAGAGAGGGGAATGCAAGGAACAACTTCCCACCCAAGACACATTCATTTACACCTTCATTAGTGGTTTTTCTTTCTACCCTTCAGCACCTAAGCTACACAATAAAGGATACATTTACTCAGTAGAGTAAGCCGTAGGAAACTTAGAAAGCCTACCAATGCAGATGATTCAATCTAAGCTGGGAACAAGGTGGGGAGAGCGCCAGCTGGAAACCCAGAAAAAGAGCCCAGCGGTATGAGCTGGTTCCTTTGAACGCTGCCCTTTGGCCAGGATCCCGACTGCAGCCTCATGACCAGCGGCAGCAGCTATCATGTCACCCCACAGGCAGGGCCAAACAGCTGCTGAGCTGCAGAGCCAGTTGGCGAGGGGCCCTGCAGGGCTGAGCCCACCGGGGGGGAGGGGGTTTACCCCTTAAGGATGAGACCTATGGAGAACCCTGTGCAGTTGTAATTGCATCTGCTCCACTCTCTACCAAAATGGTCCATGGATCTGAAACAGCTATCCATGGACTTGCAGGGCTCTATCTATTATTATTTGTGTGCCCCTAAAACTGTGCTACAGGTGTTACAGAACAAGATATGGTCCCTGCTCCAAAGACCTTACAATCTTGGCAGGTGAGTCAACCATTCATGGAGAGGGTA